TAAGACGAATGAAAATTCATACATCTTTAACAACACCAAGAATCAGTTTTCTATATTTAAACCACCACCTTACACTAAACGGCCGACAAATATCATGTGGAAGAATGAAGGACAGACGCGAGGAACAATAAGTAGCTTAATGTCCCTGGTTTTCCTTACCATCTGTGATTCTTGCTTGTTGATGAGGTGTTACAGGCGCTGTTGTGTCATTTGGCTGATCCAAATTCCTTTCTATCAAAGGATTATTGTTATTTGGGAAAGCAGAGCGCATTGCTCTTGGTAACTTCAAAGGAATATCTGCCTCAATATTGCTTTCTAATTTTGCCGGGGCTTCAGCTTCTGATGTTGCAGGGACGAGTTGAATAACTGACTTGCGCCAATTTTTCCTCTTTTTCGGTTTTGGTGCGTTTGATTTTGCCTGCAAGTTAACATCGTTCCAATTATGGGAAGAACTTTGGAAACATTAAGATTTTTGTAAAAAGTAGAGCAATAGTGAAATAGACTAACCAGGTTGTTCCTGATATCTGATAAAGGCTTTCTTTCAGCCCCGCCATCATTTGTGATGACAGGCTTCTCCGATAGAGCACTCTGAAGTAACTTTGCTCCTTCAGCAGCAAGAACGTGGCTTTTCTCAGTTTCAGTTGTCATTGATAATTTTCCAAAAGCTTCAACAAATTCTGTATTGCTGCATTTTGTGGGCTCACAGCTACAAGATGATCCACAACTACCCTCTGCAGCTCGACATTCACATCTCATTGTCTTGCATGAAGAATATTTACTGCAAGAGCAGCAGATTCCCTCTTTTGAGGTCACTAATTCTTGTTCATTTACATTCGACTCTAGTTCAAGATGATTATCAATTTTAAACTGCTTTTTCCTATCATGGCGCCTTTTCCTTTCTTTAGTATGTACCCACTCAGCGTCGTCATCTCTACAGATATCAGAATCCTCTTGCTGAAGATCATCAGATGTGTCCATGTCTTCTAACAACTCGTAATTATAACCTCCGTCGCTGAAAACAATGGAGTTCCGAGAGCCCTGGACAAAGAAACCATCTATTATGTACGGTAGGTTATATCTAAAATAAGCATGCAAAAAATATGCATAAAGGGGCCACACAGATGATATTATAAGGGAAATACCTTCGGCCGCAAGTCATAAGCATGACCTTCACTGTCGTTGAGCACGTGAGTTTCAGAACTT